CATCGGCCCTCGTCACGTTCGAACATCCCACCGGTTTCCTCCCCGTTCCGAATCCCCGAATGTGTCATTCGTGGCTCTACGAAATAAAGTTGTCACTCAAACGTCAAATCCCCCATTGGTCCGTCCCGTGGAAGTCGGAAAAAAAAATACCGTTGCACGGGGAAAAACGGCCGCGTTATTCCAAAGATCCGTCCTCCCCTGTCCGTCTGGTTGGCAGCGGTTTAAATCGCGGCGGGGCCCGCTCGTTAATCCATTATTCAGCAAGCGGATCGGAAACTCGCGGAGCTACGCCACGCGTAGAGTACGTGACGCGGTCTCACAGTGAGAATGCGTAATAATTTGCCGGAATGGCGGGTGTATTCAACGTAGGCGATCGATTCCAGCGGCGATGGGAACCGGCTGACAGCCGAGCAGCGGGCGTATCAATTTTGCGGGCCAGCAGAACGCGGAGCGGCGCTTTTCAGACGCTTCGAAGCCGCGTGTCTGCTCGCTCGCTCTCCTTATCACTGGTATATGGTATATGTACACACACTATACAGTTTCTGCTGCATTTTCCTATTAATAATCTAAGGCTAATTAATCTAGGAGGCTGTGTGAACAAGTGGCTGAGAACGGGAGGAAGCCACGGCGTTAATCGTCGCGGTAGCGCTCGTACCACCCTTGGGGAGTCGTCCTTTAATCTTTACGCGTGGAAACTTCCTTTAACCATGGTTTCATCGATCATGCGACTGTGCAAACGGAGAAATTAATTGTCCTCGAGAAATTGAGAAACGGGACGGTGTTATCGTTCATTTTTTCGATTTTATTTCGATTCTTCTCTACTTCTTGCTGTGTCGTAAAAAGAAATTTCGAATTCGATCGAGTTACACTCACTCGTTTCCCGGATTTTATTTCACCTTTTCCGGTACTTTTCGGGATATTACACCGTAGACTTTGGCAAAATTAGAATTTCGACGTCTAACCGAAGATGATCACTTGACAGGAGAATAACTGTACTCGCAAAATTTCCTACTTTCGTTCCACTTTCACGATGTAACGCCGCGGCCCTCGCGATTTTTTGGAAAAATGATCGTGACCGACGTATATGCAATTAATGCCTCTGTTGTTGTCGCAGTTCATGTATCAAAGTGTACGAAAGTACGCGTACGAGCCGACCGGCTGTTTTTTTTTTACTTAAATACGCTTGTGAAAGAAACAAACGAAAATTACGAGAAATATATACAGGGTGTTTCTCTGTTTCTCTGAAAGAGCCGGGCGACTCGTGGAGAAGAAAAAACGTATCTGCGGTTAAAGGATTGAAAAATTTCGTGGGAAGAATATATATATAGAGCTAACTATAATGTATAAGTATATACAAATGAAGAATGTTAATATACAGGTAGTTACGTATTGGATAAGATACTATATATTACTGGGACTCAAGAGAACGCATGCACTTCAGGGACTTCGATATACAATAATACTTAACTATATATATGTGTAATAGAGAACGTGTGTGTGTGTGCCTGTGTCTGTGTGTACAGTATAAAACTTTTCTTTAAGATGCGAAGCAACACTGGGATAATGTTTACGTACCATAGACGCTTTTAAATCTATACACTGGTAAAATATCGTCATGTGAAAAAGGGAGAGGGGTATTTGCGTAAATTCGATTTACGCAATCGACGACATTGCATAATTGTGTAACGTTATTAGCCGGCGTGGATTTCTGAAACATTCTGAAAATTTTAGTTCCTCTCGATTCGCGAGGATTTCGATGCACAATTTGTTGTTTTTCCTTTTTTTTACCGGGTATCATCGACGGTTCTTCTTTTTTTTTTTTTTTTTTTATTTTTATTCGATCTGTTACATTCGGCAACTTCAGCGGATCTCGAGTTTGAGAAAGTTCTGCCGCAACTAGAAACGGTTTCACGCTTCTTCCCTTTACGTTTACCATTCGTTCGTTCTTTCTCTTCTTCGCTTTCCTTTCCTCATTTACGTTATTTCGTTTTAGGAAAGCCGCGCGGCGGCGCGCTTCTTACGCGGTGGTCGATTCCAGTTCGAAAACACGATCTCACGGGAGAAACGAAACGTTTCTTTATCGCGACTTCCTTTAGCAGACGTTTCTACGGGGTAATTCGAACGGCCGCGGCTGTGAAATATCAACGACACGAATTCAGGTACGAGGTTTTAAAGTTCCGCCGCGTAACCTCCGCGGCTCACCAGCCAGATGTAATTGCGATTCGAATGCATCGGATTACGCGAACGTATTGCATGTACCACGAATTAGCTCGATTTTGTCGTATCAGAACCCTTCGCGGGATATACATGTAAGCGCGCCTGGACAGAATTTCGTTCGGTGAAATAATGTTTCGATACCGTGGTGTCGATGCATTTTCCATATTTAAAGCGAAACGTTAATTGGAGGTTTCTTTGTTAATTGCGAATGAATTTGTAACCGATGTGAATGCTAATGTGTCACATTTAGGTACATTGTGTCGGCAGTCGTTGCTAAATTTTGGAGATATTTTGCTTTTATTTTGTGGGACCAGAGAAGTGTACTCGTGGGAATTTGAACGATCGATTTTCTGTGCGAGAAGTAAGTGAAACGTGGAATAAAATATTTTTGTGAGAGAATAGTTATGCGACTAATTATTGAAGCATATTTATTATTAAACTTCGGAGATATTGATTTTACGATACTTGTGCAATGCTTCTTATTTTTAGTTTCTTGGGACAAGAGAAGGAAATTGTGGAAATTGGAACGATCGAGATATTGCACAATATGGAATAGAATATTTTTGTGAGAGAGTAATTGTGAGAGTAATCAGTGAAGCATGTTTATTATTAAACTCCAGAGATATTGATTTTAGAATATTTGTGCAATGCTTCTTATTTTTATTTTCTGGGACCAATGATATTCGCGAAAATTGTGGAAATTGGAACGATCGATTTTTTGTGCGAAAAGTAAGTCAAATATTTCTGTGCCAAGCTTCACTTCAAGGAAAATGAAATTTCAGAAGTTCATCGAGTACAAACGCGCAACTAATTCTAACTTTCGCTATAGAATACCATTTTTCTTGGTTTTCCTTTCTATAAATATTCGCAATTTATTGTACTTCGTCTATTGTTACTTGTGTTACTTCATTGATGGTATCGACGAAGTTATTAGGTAATCATACCTAAGTATAAATAAATAATATTTAGCGTTCTACAGTTAAATTTGCAAAATTGAAAATTAATCGAATACTCTAAATTCTAAATATGTGAAATTTGCAAATTTGTTATTCTCTAAGACGCAGTTTTCAAACGTAAAATTTTATTCTTAAAATTTGCAAAATTCAAAATTAATCGAATACTTTAAATATGCGAAATTTTCAAATTTGTTGTTCTCCAAGGCGCAGGGCGCAAATTGGAAACGTAAACTTTGCAAAATTAAAAATTAATCGAATACTCTAAATATGCGAAATTTTCAAATTTGTTGTTCTCCAAGGCGCAAACTGGAAACGTAAACTTTGCAAAATTAAAAATTAATCGAATACTCTAAATATGCGAAATTTTCAAATTTGTTATTCTCTATGGCGCAAATTGGAAACGTAAAATTTGCAAAATTAAGTTATTCGAATACTCTAAATTCAAAATATGTGAAATTTCCAAATTGGTTATTCTCTAAGACGCAATTTTCAAACGTAAAATTTCATTCTTAAAATTTGCAAAATTCAAAATTAATCGAATACTCTAAATATGCGAAATTTTCAAATTTGTTATTCTCCAGGGTGCAAATTGGAAACGTAAACTTTGCAAAATTAAAAATTAATCGAATACTCTAAATATGCGAAATTTTCAAATTTGTTATTCTCCAGGGCGCAAATTGGAAACGTAAACTTTGCAAAATTAAAAATTAATCGAATACTCTAAATATGCGAAATTTTCAAATTGGGTATTCTCTAAGACGCAATTTTCAAAGGTAAAATTTTATTCTTAAAATTTGCAAAATTCAAAATTAATCGAATACTCTAAATATGCGAAATTTTCAAATTTGTTATTCTCTAAGGCACAAATTTTAAACGTAAACTTTGCAAAATTAAGTTATTCGAATACTTTAAATTCAACATATGTCTTGCAAAAATTTTCAAATTCATCGTTTCCTAAGACGCTAGTTCCAAACGTAAAATATTCCTAAAATTTGCAAAATTATGAGTTAATCCAACACTCTAAATTTCCAAATATGTGTCCAAAATATTTCCAAATTAGTTCTTCTCTAAGACGAAGAATTTTATTCCACCATTTTTCGCTTACATTTTGCACAGAAAATTGTTGATTATTTTTTTCACTCCCAGTATCATCTTTCTCCCGTATTTACACCTCTCCGTAGAATAACGTTATTTTTCATCGAGCAGAAAAACTCCACACAGAATATTTACGTATTTCTACATTGTACGTACTGGTCGCATAAATATTGATCAGCGGCATTTGTCTACAACGCAATAAAATCGAGCGACTCGTGAGACACGATACGTGCACGCGTGATCCTTCGAAACGGTCAAAAACACGTTCACTTTATTCCACGTTGTCGGTTATGCAATTTTTTACGAGTGCTTTAACGGCCTCGGATTAAACGTGAACACGTGGAACCGCGAATTTCATGGCGCCATTCGAATCCTTCCAGTTTGCGATTAAATTTCCACGAGGATTTCTTCTTTTTTTAAGAACACTTTATTCGCGCGTTTTAACTTATTTTATTCGTTTTAACGCGATATGACAACTCTCGTCACGATTTAGAAATTGTTTCTTCTCTTCTTTTTTTTTAAAAAAAATTTAGGTATTACTGCGTGAATATCTTAACGAAACGAATCGAATTCTTTGATTCGCTGAAAAAAGCTGATCGCAGTTTTAAGGAGATACGTGATTTATTCGATATTTTAAAGTGGATTTCTTTACTTCAGTCCGCGTGCAAATTAGGATTGATTTATTATGCGCAACCAAATTACCTATGCAAATTAGCAACAAGACTGAGTTACCTGTTGTACATGAGAATGTCCGGCTTCCAAAGCCTGTTCGGTGTAATTCGTAGGTCCTTCACACCCCCGTACTCAGATTCGTTCCACTGAAGGTTGTAGTCCATCCATTCCTGAAACATTCAATTATTGTCGTGTAAGAGTGAGGCAATTTTGATTGTGAAACGTTTGAAAATTAAATTAGACAAGATTGCACACATTTTTCTTCGTATTACCTTTCACAATTAAGGATTCTTATTTGTTTACTCTGTTAACGAAGCTTATGTTACCCTAAAATATAGTCTTTGAAATTAATTTCTCATTTGAGTTTAATTCTTTGTTTTTTTTTTTTACTCGCGGATTATATTTTCGAAATTTTGAAATTGAAGTTCTTGAGAAAACAATTTAGAAATCTGTTATGTGTACGAAATTTCACTATTGACTCGTTATTTCAGAAAAGAGTGGTATAAGAGTATTTTTAATGCCATTAGATAATTAATTATTTCAAGTAAAAGAATTTGTTTCAAAGTTGATAAATATGCGATCTCTTCCAGATAATTTTTCGAGATATTCCAAGAAAATTAGGAAATATTCCAGGTATATTTAAACAGTAATTGAATCGTAAAACGAATTTAATTGATATCAATAGACTATGACGATTATAATTGACAAGAAATCACGGAAATTCTAGGCAAAGCTTGCATTATTAGAACCCAAAGACTGCAATGAAGAATAAATTCAGTCAGAAAGAAGATATGCATAATTTTTAAACGTGAAATTTAATTCTCGTCAGGCACATTGCACTTGTGAAACGTTAAATTTCAAACTAACGATGGATAATTTATTTCAAGTTTTCAACGATTGCTCAGTTTTCGATCTCTTCACAAACATTCCCAGGCTACGCACAAACGTAAAGTTGTACAACGTTGTGGCGCAAGGATATTTCTTTTCGATCAGTTAGCTCTGGCTAGCCTGTTGGTTACAAATTCGAATGTTCACCTGAATGTAGTAGTTGATCCCTTTGAATTTCGGCTGTGTTTGAAGTTTTTGTTACACGTTACAAACAGCTGAAGCTAAATATCGTAGAGCAAAAACAATTCGATGGATCTGATAGATTTTCATTATTTCCGCTCGCTGCACGATTTTCTTACACAAAAACCATTTAAGATACAGGAAGATATTGAAAGCATCTTTCAGCAGCTTCTTTCTCTCAGAGTTTCAGATTTTGATGTATTACGTCGTAACTTTTTGGAAACTTATTTACTGGGTTATATTCAGGATTAAATTATAATATAATATATGTATAGGTACCTGGAAGTTTCTGGAAAAATAG